TTCCTGCCATTTAGTTGTTTTTGTTGTTTAAGAATTTGAGTGCGTGCAGTCAGTTCCACTACTCTGAGTTTTTGTCTGGTTTTCTCATGAGGTTTACTACTTCCCATCATTTCATGGTTATGTTTGTAGTCTTCTGTGTGTAGAAATCTTGTCAGAATCTTCTGTAGTGGTCATATGATGGTCATATACTGTTTTAGTTTCTGTTTATCATGGAAGACCATCAATTTTGAAGGATAGCTTTGCTGGGTAGTGCATCCTAGGGATGAAATACTTCACTCCATGTCCTTCTTGCTTTTAAGGTTTCTGTTGAGAAATCTGCTGTTATTTGATGGGTTTATATTTGTATGTTATTTTATTTTTCTCTCAAAATACTTTCCTTGTTCTCTGTGGCTGTTGTTTTTCACCTATGCTGTGCAGGGGTTCTATTTTAGTCATGTCTATTTGCTGTCCTGGAGGCTTCCTGTACCTGAATGAGCATCTCTTTCTAAAGGTTTGGGAAAGTTTCTGCTATTAATTTGCTGAATATATTGAGTATTCCTTTGGCTTTCACCTCTCCTCCTTCTTCAATGCCCATGATTCACAGGCTTGGTATTTTAATGCAGTTGCTGAGTTTTTGCTTATTCCTTTCATAGGTCTTGAGTCTTTTGTCTAAGAACGCCTCTGCTTTTTCTTTGACATCTACTTTGTCTTTGAGCCCTGAAGTTCTGTCTTCTACTTGTTCTAGTATGCTGGACTAACTTCCAACTGTAATTTTTTATTTGATTTAAGGAACTTTTTATTTCCTGGATTTCTGTTTGATTGTTTTCCATATCTTTGTTGAACCCCTCTTTTATATTTTGTGCTGTTTTCTTTCTTTCATATATCTCTTTTTTAATAGTCTCCTTAGTTTCATTTTGGTGTTTGTCGAAGTCCTCTCTGAGCTCATTTGGAGGGTACTTGTGTCAGGCATTGCAGAGGGGTAGGAAGAATGGGGGTTGGTGCAGTAGAGTAGTCTGAAAGTGGTGGGTGTGGAGGAGGTAGGGTCAGTGAGGTGAGAGGTAGGGGAAGATGAGGAGGGAAAGGTGAAGACAAGAGGAGAGAATGGAAGAAAATGGTAGAGAAAATAGTTGGGGGAGAGAAGGGAAAGTAGGACAAGAGAGGGCTAAGCAGATTAATATCTGGACAGAGAGGAAGAGGAAGGTAGAAAAAGAAGAGGAAAGAAGGTGAAGAGAGTAAGAATAAAGATAAGAAAGTAGTAGTAATGAAATTATAAATAATAAATAAAAAAGGAAAAAAAGAAAAGAAAAAAATCAGTTTGCTGAAAGCTCTGGATTTATTCCTTTGGCATCAAATCCAGTTGCTGGCCCTTATGATGGGGGTTTTTTCAGTGTCCCTGTTCCTTCTCAAGGTTGGTATGCTGGGCAGTGTGATGATTGATACTGCCCCTCTTTGTTGGACAGCTTAGTGGTGAGTCAGCTCTGGGTTTTTGAGCCCTGCTTTTCCTTGGTCTGATGGGCTGTCTGGTGCAGGCAGGGTCTCTCCAGGAGGGTGGTTTGTGGGCAGTTGTTGCTCTTCTACGCACAGGATAGAAGATTCTTCAAGGTAGTCAGATATGTTTCTGTTTACACTAGGCAGCAACTGAGTTGCTCTAAAGCTGCTTTGGCTGTGGATGTTCTGCCTCCAGGCAGAAGATAGGGCAAATCAGCATTTTGACCCACCTATAGTTCCAGGAGATAAGCTCAGAGATCCACCACACTCCCAGTCGGGAGGTTGGCTCCTTACCCAGCCTCAGCTCTCAACGTTTTGGCTTCTCAAACATCCCTGCTCTCAGAGGTCAGTTCTCAGTTCTGCCCCACTCCCACCAGGTAATGGTGAATAATATTCTCTGTCTGTGGCATTAAATTTTGTTTGGGGTAAGGGGGGGAGGGTGGAATCACCTATGAGCTGCGCTGGATTATGTCCCTGGAGGATGGGAGGTGTGTGGTGATCATCTGTTTGGGTTGTCAATTTATACCTCCAGAGTTGGGTCCAGGACATCCAGGTGTCTGAAGGCTGTATCTGCATGAAACAGGTCTAGTACATAGCATAGTCCAGGCCAGTTTGATTGGCAGTTGGACACTTTTCCAAGAAAAAAAGGAAGAAAAAGGAAAAACGGACAGGGGTTGTCCCAGATGCAGTCCGTTGGCTATGCTGTTTGTTACCAGCATGCTGGTGATTGTGCTGGTGCTGAGCTGGATCTTCCATGGCTGTTATGTGTAAATAAAATCTACTTTAAGGGTCATCACAGAATACAGTTCAGTTTGGTCCACAGATTTCTCCTATTTTCAAGGGAAAATAAAGAAAGAGAGAAAGGTGGGAGAAATGGCCACCTGTAGCTTTCCCAATACAGGCCTGCAGCTGTGCCTGGACTTCCTGGACTGTTATGTGTAATTAAAAGTGATTTTAAGAGTCATTTGTTGAATTGTATGTGTGCACTATGTGGTGGCAGTAGTTCAGTTGACTAAAAAGAATCTGAATTACCCATATGTAGCTACCACAACTCTGGAGCATTTCTGAAATCGTGGCACTCAGGATTTCTATTTCTGTTTCCTCTACTATCCGACATCTTGGATCTCCATGTTTTGCTTCAATGTTAAAAAAAACATGAGAAATCATACAGGTGGCAAACTCTTTAAATGTTATCAGTGTATGAAAGCCTTCATAGTGAAATATTCATTTCTCACAGGAAAATCCACATGAGAATGAAATAATTTAAATGTAAAGAATTGGTAAAGTCTTCAAGGGTCTCACAACTCACAGAAGATATGAACATTTCACCACAGAAAACAAAACTTTTAAATGAAGTGATTGCAGAAAAGCGTTTAGTAAGAATTTGTACTTGATAACAAATATGAGAATTCACACTGGAGAGGAGTCATATGAGTGTAATCAGTGTGGGAAAAGTTTCAGCATAAAGTATAATCATACTGGTTACCAGAGAACACATGCTGGAGATAAATACTGTAAGTGAAATGTCTGTGGAAAGGATTCAGTAAATTCTTGTCCTTTGGGAAATTCATGATGGGCATTCTTGATAACATGAATGTCTCTTAACTTTAAGTAAGTTCTCAATTTTTATAACACATACAAGCAAATGGTAACTGATGAGAAAAATGATATAGGAAGAGAATGCTACAAAACCTTGGAATTAGAAGTATTCTCATGAGGCAGAAACCCAAGTTATCCAATGACTGTGGGGAATCTTTTATTCATTTTTTTCTCTTGGGGGATATGTGACAACTTGATGTTAAAGAGAAATACTTAAAGTATCTCTATGACTTACTACTTGAGAAAATTAGCTACTTAAAGTTTTAAGCCACAATGTTTACATACGTGTGTGTGTGCTGAGGGCGAAGAAACTTATTTTCCCACAACATACTATAATCAATAGCCAGTGGACTTTATCAGAACCTCAGGTAGAAGTTGGATAATCGATGTGTATAAAAATAAAGTTTTTAAAATACAACTACAATATGTTCCAGCTGTACCACTCTTGAGTTTATATCTGAGGGAAACACTACATGCCTGTGTTTATTATGGCACTATTCATAATAGCTAAAATAGGGAATCAGTGGAGGTCTCCATAGTCAGATGAATGTATAGAGAAAATACAGTATGTGTAACCAATGGAGCAATGAGAATGAAATTCTGGCATTTGCAGGAAAATCAATGGACTGGAAGACATCATGGTAAGTCAAATAAGCAAGACACAGAAAGACAAATATTGCATGTTTTCAGCCACATGTGAAAACAAACAGGAAAGAAAGACTTAGGATTATTGAAGACCGAAAATGTGCTGGGGATGGACTGTAAGGGTTGGATAGTTGTGGGAAGAAGAAAGGTGGACAGACATGACCCGTGTACAATGTATGCATTTACTGTATTCTCATTAATTTGTACAATTAATGTGGTAATTATAATAAATGAATTAGTAGAAAGTGGAAAAAAAATCATTTTATACCAAAAGACACCTTTTTTAAAAAGTTGAACATTTCCCTTTTATATAATTTTGAGTATTTAGAAGTTTGAATTAAATTATATGCAATTTGAAAAAAGTGTCTTTATATATTATTTTATACTACTTCTCAACTATTGTTTTCTAATCAATTTTCAATTAAATCAGAGAGATTCATGCTTGAGCAAAAAAAAGTATTAACTTACCCAAAATATCATAATTTAAATTGAAATTATTTGCATTAGTTTATGGCACTAGTACCATTGGTCAGCTAGTTGTCACAATGATTATAGTCTTTTCTTATTTGTCGCAATGATCTCTCCAAGTTTTGCTTATTTTCTATAGGAGGAAGGTGACCCAACTAATGAGAGAAAAATATGTAGGGACTGTCATTTCTTTCCATTTTGCTTTCTTCTCCTCAGTTTTATGTCTCCTGGATCTCCACCTATCCTCCACAAGCAGAGAAAAAGAGGAATAGAGAGGCTCCAATATGACTACATATTTATTAGCATGATATCTATAGAGGTTTTCTTGTTAGTTGGATCAGTTATATTCTGAATTTTCTTCTCTTGAATCCATAGCTCATATTCTTATTATTTAAATTGATTATGCCAGAGAGAATATTATTATCATAGGAATACATACCAATATTTCAGATGTAATCCTAGTTTTAAAGGATAAAAATATTTAAATAAAAATGTCATTTTTTGCAACTTCTTTATGTTAAAAACTCCACTGATCCTTTTGTTTAATCCATAAAATTTTGGCTACAAAATTAAAAGATGAAAATTTATTTGTGCACATTAAGACTATTTCACATAACCACATTAAAAGTGTATAGATTGCTGATAGTATAAAGATGTTTTTACTACTTGTGCAGCACCAACTTCCAGTATTAGAGAGGATGAAATAAAGCAGGCTTTCTTGGGAGGTGTAGTAGGACTATTTCAAGAAGATGGAAAGGATGCCCTAGAGTGTGTCCACATATCTGGGGCAGGTACTGGATTAGAAGATGTCTGAGAGCCCTTTATTTGTTATTATATGAGACTTTTCGTGGCATTCTCTCTTTTATGAGCAGTCTCTTCAGAGCACATTTGACCTCTTTGTTCCTCAGACTATAGATCAGGGGGTTGAGCATGGGATTGAAAAGGCTGTGAAAGAGCAAGAGATATTTCTTCTGCTCCTTGTAGTTCCCATGTTGGGGCCCAATGTACATGAATATGGCTGTTCCATAAAAAAGTCCAACCACACAAAGGTGGGAGGAACAAGTAGAAAATGCTTTCTGGCGCCCCTCTTCTGACCTGATCTTTAGGATGGCACATAGAATATGAACATAAGATACCACAATTGAAGAAAATGGTCCAACCAGAACAGACACTGCCCCAGCCCAAACCATGACCTCATTTATGTGAGTATCTGCACAGGCAAGTTTGAGAAGAGCTATAATTTCACAGAAAAAATGATTAACATTCTGAGAGCCACAGAAGGGCAATGGTAGGAGTAATACTAGATGGACTAGGGCTAAAAAGACCCCTAAAATCCAGGAAGTCACTACCAGGGCAATGTAGATTCTCCAGTCCATGATGGCTGAATAACGGAGTGGGTGGCAGATGGCCACATTACCGATCATAGGACATCACCACCAGGAGGAGACATTCTGTGTGTGCAAAAGTCAAAAAGAGAAAGGTCTGTGTCATGCAGCCAGCAAAGGAAATGGGCTTGGCTGGGTCCAGGAGGTTCACCAGCATCTGGGGCACTGTGTTGCAGGCATAAGCAATGTCCACAAAGGCCAAGTGGAGAGGAAGGAGTACATGGGAGTGTGCAGTCTGGAGTCCAGCCAGATGACCACCAAGATGGTTCCATTCCCTAGCATGGTGAAGGTGTAGAACAGGGAGAAGAGGACAAAGAGAAGCATCTGTATCCTTGGGTCAAGAGGAAATCCTAGTAAGATGAACTCTGTGATGGAACTCTGGTTTCCCCACATTTCTTTGAGAAAGAAACAAGAAAACTCACTTGTCTGAGGCAAGTATTTAAACATGGTGCATCTGTGTGTGTCATCATTTGAATGTTTCCTAAAATACATTCCATGACATTTTTGGCCAGTTTGTCACTTACTTAGTGAAAACTATGTGTCCCAAATGGAAGAAAAGGCATCTTGTCACCTACTATCAATTAAATTCTGGTATTAATAGCATCATTCCTTAAGTCTTACCTTTATGTTCAAGCCAACGCTCACCAGTATTTAAAATACGGTGACACTTAAATTACCTTCATAGTACTGGACACTCTTTTCAGTTTGTGATACTTCCATCAGATGTGTGCCCACTCCTATTCCTGCACTGCAATGGATATACATTCACATATGTGTTCATGCTGGTGTCTTACACACTTACGTGAAGAGAGGAATAAGGATGAGGAAATGTTAGTGATCTTTTTATCAAATTAGTGCCTTCAAAATAAAAATTATTTGATATATTTGTGACATTTTACTGATAATGTAAACTTGAAGTAAGTTGAGAGAATTGTAGTTTGCTGTAATATTTTAAATAATTCTTTTGCCTTTTTTTGCTTTTGTACCCATAGATGGTCTACTCTGGGTTTCTCCTGGTCAAAAATGTAGCTATTTTTTACCTCTCCTATACTCTATGCTTTATATTCTATATTTATTCATACATTTTTCCCTTCCTACACTCAAAAATTTTCAAATACCTTGCAACATTCTGTGGTAAAATGTATCTGTACAATATGTACCTGAATGAATAAATGGATGATAGGGAGAGATAGAGGAATCATATATATATATATATATATATATACTTAAATTGGATCCTTACTGTGTGCAATGCACTTGTTAAATGCTCTTTGATTTTGATCTATTTCACTCAATTTCGTTAGTAAAAATAGCAATTGAGTACTTTTAAAAAAATGATGATAAAGGTCAACTAAGATTATAGGTAAAGCTCTAACTATAGACTTGTGCTTATACAATCTTTAACACATTTTCTAGCTGTTAATTATAATGTAAAAACAAGTACTTATTACTTATGTGACTCTTTTTCATTGTGGCTAAACAGATATTTTAAAACCTTTCCACATAGAGGCTTGAATTATAACTTTTAAATTATTGCTTCTGTTTTCTTGCCTATTGTTTTTATATTCTTTTTCAGTCCAGAATCTGTTTGCATTTTACATTTAAAATAAGAATATAAGAAAATTTCATAATTGAGTTCCTATCATTGAGCATCCCATTCAAAATTTTAAAACATTTTTGAAAAGTTTCATAAGTAAAAGTAAGTAATTGTTTGACTTACTTCAAAGGAAGTGTCAAAATTCACAGTAATTATTGGGAGACATTATGATTTTAATGCCAAAAATCATTTTTAAAGAATTGGAGAAACCTCTTTGGAAATCATTTTAATTGGGACTAAACTCTTAATTAAATAAATGTTTAAAATAAGAGATTGATTGACCAACCATTTAATCAAGATGTATTCCTGTGTCATGTGAAAAGCTGAACCAGGATGCTAAGGTCCCTTCCAACTGTTGGATTCAGTGAGCATACACCATGTTCTGCTACATGTTTCAGTGCAAGGTATATGAGATCGTTCCTGTTTTCTGGTGCATATAACTTTCTTGTTGAAAGGAGTCACAAATATGACAATCTCATGTTTCTTCCTTTGACATAAAGGAGCCCACATTAAATAATACAGTCTTTAGGATGTTTGTTTTTTTTTCACACAAGTCCATTTTTGTAGTTGAAGAGACCCATTATTTTATGAAATCTCTATTTCATGAGGTGATAGAAACTCAAACATCTACTCTAATAATTTAAACAAGAAATTTAACACAAAGTGTACCAAAGTAAATTATTCATATTAGGTATATCTAAAAGAGTTGATAATTTTTAGATTATCCTAATAGCTAAGTCTATAAATAGTAAGACTTTAGTATTAACAGACAATAATAATTACATTTTGAATAGTGATCTTTCATTATGGTCTAGCTGAAATTGTATAATGAACAAAGGTTAGATAATATAAGAAACCTCTCAGACTTACATCTGAAAATGAGACGACACGTTGGACGTGGGCTAGGTGAAGCTTCACAAATAACAAGCAGCTGTTAATGTTGAAATTATTTTCTTCCAAGAAGATTCTTGGAAGCAAAATGTGATTGAGACTGCATTTCTCTTATAATAGATGATTTTATTCTCTGCTTAACCCAATCATCTCTCATTGTGCTCTGAAATTTTGTAGAGTGTGAGGGGGGAAAAGATACATCACACACACTGCCATCTGTGCCCTTCCAGGAAAATGGGAGTCGCTGTTCTTAGCTTGGGTTTCCTTGGAGAAATATTCACAATAAGACACAGCTACTGCTGATTTCTTTGCTTAATGTTGAGTCCATGACCACAGTTAAGAATAATCAAATGACTTCTAAGACAGGACACCTTCACACCACAGTTTCCAGCAGCTTGGATTTATTATGGTTCTAAAGAACTCCCAAAACTGCAGTTAATCTATTCCTCCTCCTACTGACCTGATAGATTAACTTATATTTAGAGCATGCAGAACCCATATATTATTCCCATCCTTTCTAAATGTTGTCTCCACTAGGAGTACAAATCATGAAGTAAGATCAGATAACAAGTCCTACTGGAGCTATGGGGAGCTTCCCAATGGGACTTGTTAAATATTATTTTATAGAATTTAGCTAGGGGCACAAACAAGGAAACAATTTCTATTCTTTAATTTCTAGTGATTTTGAACACAAGAAGGGAAGAAAGACTAAAATCCCTTTAGGCCTATGACTACTACTATTTTCTCTTCCTCTCAAAATAAAAATGAACTGACCGTGTTTTATAATTTCTGGGACTACAGTCAAAAAAATCTGATGATATCTTCATGTATTAAATATCTCATTTATTCTTATATTTACATTTATTCTCATAATCAAATATAAAAGAGCCAGAGCACAATTTCTGAATTAGTTATTTTAGCTTATATACCAACCATGAAAGTAATAAACCATTTTTTCAATCTGGAGAGGAGACTGCGGTAGGTTTGAAATGGGCTTTTCTCCATCAAATCTGTTCACTGAGAGGCTTATTGGTGACTGCAGTCCATGTGACACCTTTCATGTGTTGCAAGGCAAAAACATCATGGTAGAACAAAACTTCTCACCTCCAACTAGGCCTACCTCCTAAATTTCTATCACCTTCCAATAGCATCACCACCTGGGAACTAAACCTTCAACACATGAGTTTTGGGGACATTCCAGATCGAAACTATAACAATTAATGTGCAATACCTCTCTTTATACCAGTTAATGCTTTTTGCCTATCTAAATAAATGCAAATGTCTGTTTGGTATTTATGTTGCTGTGCCAACTTATTAAATATTTGGCTAGGATATGTCCTTCAATACTGTATTCCCAGCCTCTCTTTGTGATTGTGCTTTAGTTGTTCATATAAATAACTATATTTTATGGGTGTTAAAAATTCAACATGAACATAGAATATAACCCATATTCATTTAATATAAATATCAAGATGTTTGGACTTTCTATCATTTGTATATTATTTTTCATCCTTTTTTTTGGCTTTTATATTTGTTCTCTCTTTCTGTTAATTTTATGAAGACATGTTGGAAGATTATCTATCATGGTAATCTTGTTTCTGTGTCATTGTTTTGCCTTCACTTAGTGATCAATTCCTAGATTTCTTGGGCATATTCACTCAGACACATGCAATGCATACATCCATCTATAACTGGATCACTTTGCAACATGTCAGATAATTTAAAAAAACACTTTATGGTGACTTTTCTCATCTTAAACTCTCGTACCTACTCAGATAATCTTTTTATCATCAGTTGTATAACCGTCTCACATTTTCTAACTTTTCTTTGAATCAGCAAGAATGTATCAACAGAAAGTGTGCTGCTATTTTCAACAGAGCCTAGTAGGAGAGGTTAAATTGATATTGAAGAATGATAACAGCAACAATGGAGATCTCAAATGAGCAAACAGATAGGATTGAATAAATGCACAAGGTGCACCAGTTTGGGGCAATTAGAATTTAGAAGGTCAAAGAAGAGACCATATAGGGCTGTGACTTAAAACTCTAAAAAGAGGCTATCTCCTAGTAGATGCTGTTGTAACAGATTGAGTAATGAGGCTGATTCTGGGAAAGCCAGAAAAAAAAAATTGGAGAGGGGAACTGGCTACCTGCCAGTATGAAGAATTAGTGGGGGGCAAAATTGACCAAAACAAGCAAACAAGCAAACAGGAAGGAGCAAGTTCCTCTTACTTTTATCTAGGCTCCTCTATTGGTAGACCCTAAGTGGCAGTCAGCTTGCCTGCCCGGAACAAAGGGAATTTGTGGAGCTTTAGCTCTAATATTACAAAGCATAGAAGCAGAAGCTTGGAGCAAAAAGACATGAGTTTAGTAATCAGTGCAGTCCACTCCTTTGGTGATTCAGAATTTGTAACTACCCTTTTATGTACATTAAACATCTAAACAATAATGACTATTATTTTGCTAAATATGACACAACCAGCCATTGTACATGCAAAGATCATTTTACTTTCTTATTGAGAAAGGGAGAACACAAAGTTCTAAAAGAGATTGTCTCCTCTGGATGACAATCACAATATCTACTTTTGGTTAATGTCAGTTACTGCACAATTTCAATGTAAGGAGTGCTTTACAACAGTTTATTTCTGGGTGTTAGCTCTTTCTGGAGAGGCATTTTAATTCACTCACTAAGATCTTGCCTTTTCTCTTGGAACAGTTACTTTGTCTACCCATCACCTTTTCAGCTCTACCAATGACAAAGACAAAAATAATTTAAACTTTCTCTTAAAACAGAATCAACACAGCCCTTTTTCTCCTTTTGAATCTACTCAATCCTTCTTGTAAGGTATTTCTCTTAAGAAAATCGCTCCCTTCGTCTAGCTTACTAGTACTTCTTTATTTTATTT